CTGAATATACGGCATACATTCGCATTATGGCAGTTTATTACAAAACATAATCATTTTTAAATAGGATAAGTCTGCACAACATGGGGCAGGAACAGTTCCCAGGCATCTGTCAAAGACATGGCATTGAGGCCAAACCAAAGACGATACTGTACTTTGTCTATGTGAGCCCACACAGCTCGATCACATACAGGGCCTCCCTCTTGGAGTTTCCTTTTCAGTCTACTCCAGTAGGCCTCAATAGCATTGTTGTGCCGTCCGGTGGTAGGGTCCTTGAAGTTCTTTGAGTGGTTAACAGAGAAATGCAGATAACCTTTTGAGGAAAGACGATTATACGCCTTCCACTCGTCCGTTACCACCATACTGTTTTTGGCGACCCATTTTGTAATAACGGAACGGAGAGCGGGCCAACTTCGATCATTCACCTGTTCAAATAAGGCTTTCCCGTCGGCTAGTATCGTACATCCCGACCAGCCACCACCCATAAAACCCTATTACCACCTGTCCTGTAAGACAGGCTGCTTTGGTTAGACGGATTTTTTTGGGCGCCATCTCCCGATTGTTACCATTCTTTTAAACTACGACGAGCTAACGATCGTTTCTGGAAAGGCTACCAAATGACAGGATAACTCAGGGCTAGGTATCAGGCTATAACGGGTCCCTATTAATTTGACTCTTACGACTTTGTAACTAACCTGTGTAAGACTCCCTCACATAAGGTTGCTTCTTGTGGACATGGCCTCCGTATTGCCAGTCACTGTGTCCATCTCCAGCTCATCTCTACCCGACCTTGCTACTGGAATATGGTGGATTAGGGGAGATAAAAAGACCGGCGCGGGGCAGCGCAAGTCTGCTTCGCCATAAAACACACGTCACTGCTGCTAGGAGTAGGCTTTGGGAGGTTTTATTAGATGTATTTCTTCAGATTGGCAAAGTTGAGATATCCGGGTTGATTAATTGAAGACGAAGACAGGCTCTCCGGAAGAGGTTTATTTAAGTGCTGACGTTTCAAAGAGCTGGGTTGGCTCTTCATTGTCAAAGCATAAAATGTACTTAATCGGTCTTGGTGTCTAGAGCAGCCGTTAATGAGTTAAATTTGTGAACCGAAAGTACCTATCGGTATGATCTACCAAGAATTATCTGCGGAGTGTAAAGTGCTTGTACTTCATGAGACATTGGCTGGCGGGCGTATTTATAATCTTATATAAGGGAGGTGTCGGTTTGTCACGGAAATATGAACTCCCAATACAGCAATTGTATTTGCTCCAAATTCCAAAGGGCTCTTGTTAGGAGGAGCCGTTCTAAGCGACTTGCTCACACGCCGTGCGCATGCTGATATCGCGCGAGCCCCTGACAGGACTGGAGATCTACCTAACCAGTTAGGTGAGTCGAAAGTCCAGCTGGCGGGCTAACCACTCAAGGACAGCGTCTCGTCCAATCCCAGTTCGACCTTGGACATTACCGTAGGTTCCTTTGACCGCCTTGAATGCACAGTTAGAATGAGCCAGTACGCTCCTCTTCTTCCGTTTTTTTGTTGTTGAGTTCCGATTTGGGCATTCGATTCAGGAGAGCCATTGGACAGGCGACCATCGGGGCATGCGGTAAGTACACAAAAGTTGGTGTTAGGGTTGGGGCAAGCGTTAAGACACGAGAATGCGGACCCCCTGGAATTTAGCTCAAGGTAACCTACAGTACTGGAGGGTTGTCGTAAGTTTGGTGGACAACCTCGCGTTTTTTTCTTGCGTTGTCGTCCCCCGACTGTCACTGTTTCAGTAACACAGAGTCTTCAGATTTTCAAGGGAGGGTCGGATCCTATTTCGTAACCGCACCTGCAGTAGGCAAGCGCCACCCGCATATCATACGGGACCGGTGGTGGCAGGGGTTTTAACACTAACCGCTAACCATAATCCTAACGCCTAACACTAACCCTAACGCTAGCCCCTTACCCCACCCCTAACAGGTGCAGCTACGAAATAAGATCTTACCGTAGGGAGACCCAAGGCCAACTAGTTTGAATAGCAAAAAAAAAACTACGGAAAGTTCGCCTCAGATAACATTTTCGGACGGCTATGATTTTTCGGAAATCGATTGTTTGGAAGGTGGGAAGGTCTGTGTGAAAGTGCGCATGGGTTTTTTAAACCTGCCTAGTATGCAAGCCAATTGCATTAGGACTGTTTTGACTGCCCGCACATCTCGTCCAAACTGCGCGAACATATGTTGGGAATTGGTTTTTGAAAGTATAACTCGTAAACCGTTGAGCCAAGACCAAACGGGTTGCTGTTTGAAAAGTTGCGAGCTACCGATTTTCCCAGTGCAGAGATTTTGAAGTCTTCAATCCATAGCTGTATGCGAAACGATATCCCCTAAAAACTCCATGTGCATATGGAGCATTCCCAAGAGAAAAACGATACGCTGTTTTAATGACTGCTTTTCACACGTATATGTTGAAAATCCGGATGTCATTGCACATAGAAGGCGGGGTCGTTTTTATTGTAACTGATTTGCCATGAATCGCCTGTACATTACTGAAAAGTTGGTGCCTTATTGTCCTTAAGTTCTCAAGTTTTTGCGTATTATGACTAGAGGAGGCACGGAAGATACGAGGTACCCTTCAAAATGGGTCAAATTTCTTCGCCAGATACTTCCCGTTCAAATTTGATATTTTAATACTTTGTGTAGCTTGCATACATTGCCCACTCTCCCTTTAGATAACGATTAAGACATGTCGAAGTCCGTCATCGCATCTAGCTTGAATAGCGTCTCGACAGCCAAAAGCTTCTAAACTACGGACTAGCAGGAAACATAGCAATGTCACGAACACGTGATCAAGAAACACTTGCCAAAGCAGGTGGTTCCTATGTTCGCACTCTTTAACTTGACAATGCGTGTGCTGACAAAATGACATGACAAAGTGTCTGCTGGAAATACTGCACCTTCTGTGAGTTAACGTTAGCCTTTAATGCAATGTTTGAGGTTGGCGACCTGTCCTTCCAAGTACACCCACTTGTGCCATATTTATCGGTTTTGTCACTTTGAATGGCATCTGTTCGCGTGCGTACTCCCGCACACCACATACTCGACCTTTCGCGTGCCTGTTTTAGCTGATCCCTCGCCCCTCGGCAGAAATCTCACCAGACTCTCCTGCGACCTGTTCAACACAGTTTATCTCCGCCATACTAAGGGTTTACTGCAAACTCTGCGCGTCACCCTACTTCAACCTCCCGCACCTTATGGCTGCCACCAAGCACTATGTAGACCTTGTGATCCCGCCCCCTTCCCCCCGCTATGACCACCCCAACCTTCGGCATTCCTACCAGACGCCGATCCACGACTCACTTGTGAGTAATTGCTCCTACCTGGGCTCAAATCCAGCCTTACGCACCATCCCGAGGGTGGATCTACTGCGACTGGTACAATTTGGTGAAGTGAATGGTCTCATACGTCGTCTGTACTGTTACCCTATTAGTGACCTGTCCCCGGCCACATCCACCTCCCCCGACCATCTCTCATCCGAAACTAGGACGGACTCCACCCCGAAGAACCGGCCGGACAGAGGCAAAACAACCATTGTGCGTACTCTAAGTAACACGCTTTTGCCTCCGGCACCTCCATCCTCTCTTTCACGCCAGACATCGGTGAACTTGGACCCTGTACTCTATTCTCTACAGACCCGGCTATGGCCATTTGCTCGTTCCCACTTGATGGACGGGGTGTCACCCGTTGATTCCATCGTCCTTCAGCTGTCCGGCAAGGCCCTTCGTCGGATACAGAAGGTGATGCGGCAACAGATGCAAGACTGGACGCCCTCCCAGTTCTCCACCCTGCCGGATGCCATTGTGACCTTCACAGCGCGTCTCCTAGTCGAGAGCGTAAAGTGCCAGCAAATGACGCCTATGCTTACCTCGGAAGACATGACTGGGAGCCCGCGATGTCAGCGCAAGGGCGCACATCTTGCCTCAGCCATCCAGCAGCAGCAGCAGCCCCTAACAGCCTGCTTCTCCGATAACAATCTACCTCCTGAGCTGCGTGATAACCTGCTGCGACAAACGCGACGAGTCTCGCTAATCAGCGATATTCTTAAGGTGACAAGGGGGAAGCATCAAGAAGTGGCTGTGGCCGGTGGCGGACGATTGAACGGCCTCCGCCCAACACAGGAGGAAATACCCGAAGTTATAAACAGTCTTGTACCACAGCTTTACCTGCTCTGGCATTAATTACCCCCCCCTTTCGCGTGGACCGTGACAACTATCTTACTTCTCAGGTTTCCAAGAGTCTCCATTTAGTGATTTCCTAGATGACAGATAGGTGAACGATCGCTTCCGACAAATCACCACTCAGTTTTGTATATATAGGGGAGATCTTTCTGCTTAAAATATAGTATTTGCTGAAATTCTACACACGTGTTTCTCCGGTGCCGTCCATTCATCTGACGACTTTATGCCGGCAACAGTGGTTCTGTCTGCTGACAGGTTTGGATATTAAGCGGTTATTCTGTAGAAATTGCTGGTATTCGTCACAGTCTCGAGGTTGACCCCGAAAGGTGTTATTACGAAAAAGTGCTTTATTTCCTGACATCGATAATTTGCGTAACGTGTTTTTTCTGGGCGTGATACGCACGAGCAACCTTTTCGCCGAATAACAGAGCTTCTAAACGACACAGAGACATGCAGAAGGCCCTCATTGAGCGGACAACACTGTCGAATCTGCGAATCTAATAAGCAATTTCATAAGAAAAATTAAGGTGCTATATAAGCACTTTGTAAGTACTGGGACACTTTTTGGAGGGGTATGTGCTAGGCGAAGATCGAGCAACTCCGCCCAAGGATAGTAAAGGACAAATGTCAAACAGTGATCATTACAAAAAATATTTGATTAGAAGACATTTATCAGGCCGGGGTCGCAAAAGGTAGGCAACAGAAGTATCACAGGTAAGGGAACGAACGCGAGGAGGGGAAGTGTGCAGTCAAATTGAGGTAGAAAAAGACCTGATTCGAGTGGGCACTTCAATCGTCGTCGTCATTGTCGCTGAGAACAAGAACCTAAAATGTGATGACAAAAGTCATAGAAAACTGAGACATACACATGAGGATTAAGAAGAACCTGTATTGCTGGGAATCGGCGTCATTAACATAAACCAAAAGTGAAAATTTAACGGAGAAAAATTTTGGTGGAGGAGTTTCAGCCGGACGGCCCGGTGCGCCATTTTACGAATACACCGTACATAGCGTTTTGACTGGACTTTTAAGTAGACATAATTACGAATCGAATGGCCTTTGATGTGCCTTGAATGTCCATGAGGACGCTTCACGGAACTATGCGTTTTCCTTAAATCCAGTTTTGGAGAGAAGGGGACATTCTGGTTCCAGTAATTGTCGAAAAGTGTGTACCCTGCTTGAGCGATGGTCTACCATCGAATGTATTGTTTGAGAGGCAGACAATTATACCTGATAAGGTATTGACAGTGAATAAGTGTGGTGAGCGCCTGTAACGATCGCCGGTTGGTTCAGTAAAATTCACTCAGCCAATCATAACGTAGGCATAGTTTGTACTCACTGGTAATATCTCAGGGTGCGTCAAGTACTTAATCCGAAGGGTCTACCAGCACCAAACTCGTACTACCCGCCTTATGAGGTAATTTAAAGCCGTGGCCTAGGAGGTAGTTCCTAATTGTTAAATCATATTCTGTGCACCCACCAAGTAATAAGCCGTCCTTGTAAGAATGGTCACAAATGCTATGAGAATTACGTTTGTATTATTCACAATCTGACAGATCCAAAGAAAGCTCTGTAACGAACAGGTCAACCTCCATTAGGAATGGATCTTTGCGGAGGCGCTGGACTAGATGTATGGCCATGAGTAGGCTGACAAATCCCGGGACCCGAATTTGCAACAGTTTATAAAATGGTGGGAGAGGGATGGCGAGAAAACAAAGCGAAGAACGACCAGACATGGATTGGACACGGAAATAGGTACGCCCTGTACTACAGGTGGCCTTTTGCTGGATTCCAGGGATACGTATTTCCGTGTGCAAACTTGGACGCGAAACCTAACCCCGGCTCTGGAGTTTAGCGTAAAGCCACTTACAATATGACCATGTCCCACCGAACTTTTTGGCAACTGGCTGGGCGTGACGCGTTGGGAAGGTCGGAAAACAATTCCTGAACGATAAGGGGCCTGTAATTTGCGTTTTCTTCCATCTATGCGTTCGGCAGTTTTAAAATCCTTGTGCAAGTGATCCTTATTCGGCTTCAACTATGCCGGTCCAGGGCCAGCTGGGTACAACGGTAATCGGATATTTCTAACAAGTGGGCAAGTAAGGGTTAACGGTGAATAGTGGTCCTGTGACGCAAAATGTCCGAAAAATCGACCCCAATTACTACTAGTCATCACCCTAGACCTCCACCAGTTTCTTAAGTAGTGAAAAATTTCGAAGATAAGTTGGGTGGGGCAGTAAAACTGCAAAAATGCTATACCAATGGTGAGATTGGATGATATACCAACTAGGAATGCAGCTCACATAGGATCGAACGAGTGCGCTCAACAGACCTGTTCAGAAGATGAATATGCGATCACTGGAACAAGAAGTTTACTTGCCTGACGTTTCGGATTCTCACTCGAATCCATCATCAGAGACATTCGCAGATAGAGGTGAAGGTGGCACCAGGAGTGCAGTATTTATAGCACGTGGCTGCCGTGGGACCGTATGCGCACTGCAATTAACAGTTCTCGCAATCGCCACTGGGGTCGTAATTGATGCGGCGGTGGCTTGGCGGTCCGAGTCCGAGTCGTTAATGGCCGCGATTTCGTCCTCAGTGCTGGATGCTGGTGCGACAACTGCTCGGCAAACTGGCTCACTGTCACTGCGATAATTGCTCACCCGCGCCCTCCCCACGTGACTGATTCTCCTGCCCAGGAAAAATCGCAATACGGAATAGGGTACCGGGAGGTCATTGTGTTTGTTGATGGATTGAGGACCTGAGAACCATGACTCGAGCAGCTCGCGGCTCACGCGGTTGTCACCCTTGCGAGGATTTCGGCCTCTTGAAATTTGAAAATATGGCCGGGTCCCGTCGAGTGTGCCGCCACCTGAGAGTTAGCGTCTCCTCGCCTCACTGCTGCTGCGTGCTCGGCAAGTCGCGTACGGAGTAATTTGCCAGTTTCTCCGACATACAGTAGATGTGCTAATTCATTAAATGTCAACTAAAATTTCGAAATGTGTTCTCGTTTCGAAAAGATAAATTAAGTAGTGTTGTAAAACTACTCATGATGCAGCATAAATCTATAATGATCCAGTTACCTCAGAGTGTCGGCTTTCGAAAGAACTTATTTTCGGCTGCATGCAATATCTATACTCTGCCAAAAAATGACTACTTAAGTAGCATGCAACTTTCTCATTGATTTTCGATGCCATTGAAAATTCAATTATATTTCATGGAAAACATGCATAAAAATATTCATTCGTTTACTTATTCGGTAGGAAATCACGTCTTCTTCCAAGTCCATACTCAAAAGAAGAGTATAATTCGGTTTTAAAAAACTTTTCTAATTCCCGAATAATTTTGACCCGACCTGCTCTTACACTTGCATTCTGGGTTTCAAAACTACAAGCTGTATATTTTCCGTGTATGGAAAACCATGCATTTGTCTACGGTGTTAAGAGGAGACCATATGAGGTTCATAAAATTAAACAGTGGATTTGAGAAATATTGTTAACTTTACAAGCCTCATTCGTAAATGCAGATACATGACGTTTCATGAAAGGCCATTTAAGGGTATTAAAAAATCTCACAATTAGAAACTTTTTTAAAACCCAATTATACTCTTCTTTTGAGTTTAAAATAGGAAGAAGACGTGATTTTCTACCGAATAAGTAAAAGAATGAATATTTTTATGCATGTTTTCCATGAAATATAATTGAATTTTCATGGGCATCGAAAATCAATGAGAAAATTGCATGCTACTTAAGTAGTCATTTTTTGCAGAGTATAGATATTGCATGCAGCCGAGAATAAGTTCTTTCGAAAGCCGACACCCTGAGGTAACTGGATCATTATAGATTTATGCTGCATCATGATTAGTTTTACAACACTACTTAATTTATCTTTTCGAAACGAGAACGCATTTCGAAATTCTAGTTGACATTTCATGAGTTAGCACATCTACTGTAATTGCTTTGTCCGCAACTACGCCAGATCCGGTAAACGACTCCAGACGTTTCCTGCCGTGGCAGCGGGTCTTTTGGCCTCATTACTTGGCGCCTAATGGTTGCTTCCGGCCTGTGTTCAACCCCAATTCCAAGTGGAGGGAGAAGACGACTGATAGGCTTCTGAGGCGTTCTTCACGTACGGAAGAGCCCGCAAAAATTTGGGGCTGGTTGGATTTGGTCTCTGGTGTCCTTTTCGTATGCACTGGTTGACAAAGTTGCGCGGGTAGCTATTCGCTCTCATTAACCGTGGAAGAAATCAATTATCACAGTGACAATGAGCCAGTTTGCGAGCAATCGTCACACCAGCATCCAGCACGGATGACGAAATCGCGGCAATTAACGACTCGGACTCGGACCGCCAAGCCACCGCCGCATCAATTACGACCCCAGTGGCGATTGCGAGAACGGTTAATTGCAGTGCGCATACGGTCCCACGGCAGCCAGTTGCTATAAATACTGCACTCCTGGTGCCACCTTCACCTCTGTCTGCGAATGTCTCTGATGATGGATTCGAGTGAGAATCCGAAACGTTAGGCAAATAAACTTCTTGTTCCAGTGATCGCATCTTCATCTTCTGAACTGCTACCTGGGACTCGCCTGTTGGCTTCTGCCAGACCTGTTCAGCTTCGGATGGTTCGCAGGGTGTTAAATGTTGGACAAACTGAGTTAAGGATAAACTTGAAAACTAAACATTTTAAGTAAGCTAACGTTTCGAAAGGAACAAAATTGATAAAACTTTCGAGAATTATCATCAAAAAGTAACGCACATCATTGAACGTGGTCTCCAGATGAAGTTGATGTAGACCGGACACCACCTCCAAGTGGCTGGCATCATCAAAGACGCGAAGCAAAAAGTCGAATCCGTTTTTGGAATAGGCATCTAGGATCTGAAGTGCAAGGCACAACGAGAAGGGCGGGAAGCAAGTCCAGTGTGAAACGTCAAAATGCACAAACTTAAGGATAAAACAAATTACAGAATCCGTCAATAACAGATCCATCAAAAAAATGAAAAAAAGTTGTTGAGGAATGCGAACAAGTCGATGAAGAAGCCAAAAAGGCTTGCTGCACATTGCGGCCGCTTAGATGAAAAAGGCAGGAAGTGTGGTTACCTTGGTAGGTAACGCGATTCTACGGCCCCGTGGCCGTCCGCTCCCTTGACCTCCGCCGCCTTGTCTACCTGCACTCCTGTCCGCATCACGCTCCCTGTCGATTAGCGGCTGGGGCCGCGCGAGGCTTGTCACTAGCCTCGCGAGAGATTAAAGCCAATCAACGCTGCCCCTTCTCTGATTGGCTGGGGCACGCTAACTGGGAGAGAGTAAAGGTGCACACACGCACTGGGGGGTCAATAACCTCAACGGCGGACACTGACAAAGAACGAGCCTGGAGAGACAGCTGGCGACAAAGGCTTGCAGGTTCTTTGGTACGCACCTTCTCATCAGTAAAGGTTGTCCAACCCAGTCCGTCCTTCCTGACCTCTGATTTGGAAATCTTCGTGTTGTCGGTCATACCACCTTCAACAACCCCAACGACAAAAGCGCCTCCTTGCTATCGGATGCGCGCAACGTTCATAGAGCTTACAGGCTGCTCCTACTTATATTTCCTAAAACCTTAGTCCTGTTTGTCAATGCTGATTTAGGCGACGATGATGATGCGATAATTTCGATGGCGCGGTAGCGACCTGTGTGCAACTTGACTTATTTTGAAACATCTACCTCATTTCCATTGGTAAGATAAAGATGGCCAGGGATGCGGTGGCTGACAAAGTCAAGAAAAAGATTTTGTGCATGCCCTCTAGGAAACCCATACTACCAAAGTAGTCATTATTATGGAACGTGGTTTACGCGGGCAGTCCATAAGGAGGAGCTCATTTGAAAGCCGGCATCCTGCCGTGACTGGAATAGCTTGGTATTATTAGACACGGATAATTAACACAGCAACCCTACTTAGGTGATCTTTTCGAATTGAAGACGCATTTCAGGGTTTCGGTCAATGTTTCATGTGACAGCACATCTGCGGTAATTCCCTCTTGCCAAGATGTGTTAGCGCAATGTTTGGGTGATATGACGGCCGTGTCATAAAACATTCGTCTAACGTAACGTCGTTGGACTCTAAACTCCAGCTCATCAGGGTCATCCCCACAGCGCTCGGAAACTTCTTCCATATAGCAAGCCATAAAGACCCACTACACGGCGAATTGTTTTACCCCCTGCCTGATAGAGGAATAACAGCCTGCGCGACCTTTTGCACTACAAAGTGGCTAGTACAGACTTAATAGGTTTTCAGCGAAGTGCTGTAGTATTTAAAAATGACATACCGGCTGCGAACATGCCGAGCAAGATGCGAAGGCCCTAGTGCAGGGGAGAACTTCGGAGAACTGAGACAAGAATCCCCGTATCTGAAAAAAAGAGAAGTGTGCACATTAAATGAGCGAGTTCTCATAGCTGTACACTTCGTGCGCTCTCTCCATCACCCGGACTAAAGTTTGGCCTCAGCTGATTGGCCTGATGGAGCGTGCTTGAGGCAGCATGTGAAGTCAACCGGATCGCGGAGGTCAAGGCGAGGTGGCAGAGGCTGGTAACCCTCGAATACCGACGATCAACGTCGCCAAGCCCTACTGGCATGGCCCACTGTCAACGGTCCTTTAAGGCCCGATTTGTTTAACTGGACAAGGTCGCATCCGCCGGAGACATAGGAGGGAAAAGCAATGAAACACACAGGAACATTGCCAACGTTGACCAATCCCTCTGCATCTGCCCACACTGTAGAGACGAAGGTCTCGGATGCAGTTCATTTTGGCGTGACATCTCCGTGTTCAACCTGACCGGTCGAACACTCTGGACTAGCCCAGGCACTAGTGACCGGAAAACGTCAACTTCAGAACCTGAGTGAACTGAGTCCAGCGAACTCAGCTCACCCACCCCCATAGTCTCTGTGGTCGTAGCGTGGGGTAAACTGAAGCAACCATACAGTCTATATTCAGGCATGGTGATGGTAAATGTCACTTGAATAGCCTCGACACCTTGCACAACTTCACTGTTTGCATTTTTTAAACTTGCACGTCTGCACACACTCCAACCGCCCCGAATGGTGGTTTTAATGCTCGACAATTTAATCAACCAGGACAACAACGCTTCAAACTGCCCTACTGTAAAAATGCATTCAGTTAGAGGAAGACTTGGCACATTCTCTGTACACTCTTTAAGTCGTCCACCAAAACACCTCGCCAATCAGTCCGTATGATGAAGACGATTATCCCCGGCAAGGACGGGCGAAGTGGGATGAGAATAGGAAGGTAGGACTTCATGTATTAGCGCATCCCCGTGCATGCTTATGGCGCATGTTTCGCTATGTCAGGACGTTTTGTCCACACATCATAAATCAGTATCAAGGCACAACAATCCCGATCCAAATTTCGATTGGATCAAAATAGCAAAAACAGGGCCAACGATGACAGACGCGACATCTAACTAAAGCCTATTTGGTTGAACTGTGACAAACAGGTCGCTTCCAAAAGCCTTTCAACGTTGGAATAACAAGGCGCAGTTTCACGTGTTAATGCAACCGCGACTTTTTGCCAACAACAGTTCACGACTTCGGATTGCTTGTCCCCACGCGAACGCTTGTGAGGATTCAAAAGGAGGGTAGAAATTCCGTATTCCGACCAGCCATGAAGCCAGATGGATCAGTGAACGTCAGTCTCACAAGACTAAATATTTCGATCGCAGCAGACAATATGTCAACATTTTATGCAATAATACAGGGGTGAGAAAGGAGGTTGGAACGAGAAAAGGTATACGTCATAACCTGATGCGGCAAGAGTCCGAATGTGTTGGAATTCAAGGCAAGACCATCATCACATCCCTTCATTAAGGCCGGTGCATAGGCTCTAAAATAGAAGAGTTGGAGTTTTTAGTGTGAAGAAGCGTGCTCGTGAAAATCTTTATGAGGTCATAACAGTCAAGTTATACTTTTAGGACAGACAAGGAGGTCCGCTGCTAGAGCGACGGGAATAGCTGTAGTGGCCCTACTCCGAGACCCTGCTCCAACCTACTTAAGGACCATCCTACGAGTAAAGTACACCGACTCCGTCTCAAATGAGACAGTCCGCGCTCGCTGCGACAACATCGCAAGGATAACCCAGACCATCCAAGAAAGATGACTGAGGTGGTTTGGACATGTTCTTCGTCTACCACCTCAGGAGCTTAGTGTTGCTGCCCTCGATCTGGCACCTTTACCCCATTGGAGGCGTCGAAGAGGGGGTCAACTCAAAACCTGGCCCGACACAGTTCGTCAAGTCATGGAGGTGGTTCTTGGACCTTCGGTATTTGGTCTCCGTCGTTGGCGAAGGGAATGGGTTGAGTGATCCAGATCTGCTGCCGCGGATCGTCAGGCGTGGAGAGGTACAGCTAGGGACACAGCAAGGTGAAGCAGGCATAGTGACCTACGCGTAAATTAGTTTACAGTGAAAGTAGACTTGCGCAGCGTCTACCCCGCCCCCTCTTCCTCTCCTGCTTGAGCCCGGTGTTAAGACAAAGTCATGAAGACCGGAGGCGAGAGAGGAACCAAGTGGCTGGCATGGCCGGACCCGCACCTGGGCGTACCACTCTACACTCCCGAGTTCACAACAAGCAATTGACCAGGATTTTGACCAACATCGGCAACACAACGGGCTAGAAAGACGATGAGGATGACTGGGCAGCCATGCTCACGAACTTTATGCCCACATGGGGCGCAAGCGCATCTACCGGCTGCGAGGGCTATGGTTTGCTAATCCTGGCGTAGCAGGCGCTTACAAACTTTGAGGCCCAAACACTGATATAAAGCCAAGGGGACAAACAACAGCAATACTTATAAAAACACAACCAACCGCCTAATTACCCTTCTCTGTGATGGAGCAGACCAACACAAAGCTCCACGGCCAACGCAGAGGCCATCATAGAGGTTCCCGGCCGGGCGACAGTGCACTGCTGATCGAGGGTACGATCTCGGAGGGACTACAGGAGGCAGATAATGAGGTGTGGGAATGCCAAGCTTACATTTGAGGGACCAACTACATCATTGCAGAAGTAACAACCCAACTGCGAGCCTGAAAGTTGCCGTAAACGGCCATCACCGGATGCTTTCAACGCCATCTCTTGGTTGCAGGACTGAGAGGGAGAAGTTCCAGGGCTTCGCGGTAGACCGTGGCGCATGACCAGATAGCTGTCGAATCCGAGCGCAGCGGTAATCGCAATCTAGACGGGAGCAAGAATGAAAAGGCAGTTTGGAAATAGAACAGGACTCCCAACTGCAGGATTGAAGCTCAGTTTTAGGAGAGGCGACCATTGAGGGTTCGCCTCGCCTCATGCATAGTCTCACATGCTAAGCATACTCAGATCGCGGAGCTAGGAGTTTGAACACCAGAACGAATGAGCAAAAGTTTGGTAACAGAGTGAGGTCAAGGCGCGCCGAGGAAACATAATAACCGTAAAAATACCGCCTGCACTGGCCTCCCCTCCATAAAACAAATTAAGGCTGAATGTGATCTGAGTACTTGTAAAAAGGATAGAAAAAATCTTACAAATCAAAGAGTCTAAACCGCGGGAGACTCGTCAGGCAAGTCGAATGAACAGGAACAGCAGAAGCACAGTTAATGCTAGTGTAATGCTGAATTTGGTCTCATAGACAGCCGGCTTACGCATGCTGACAGACAGGTAGGCAGCAGACGGCGGACAAATACCACAGTAATCAGGAAAGGGCATTCTAGGCCGTCATTAGGGCACTGACCTTGGAGTGGTAGGTAGCAAGCATTGTGGGGAGCCATCGAGCTTCACGAGTGTCAAGCAGGAGAAACACGACATCGTGGGTGCGAATTAGTTCGTCCAACTGTTCGCAGGCCTTACGGGCAGCGACAACCTGCGGTTGCATGGTTGGATCGGTGCTGATCGAAGTGGAGGAGATGGCGTGACCCGGCATGGGAATGGTGAGGTCGACGGCACACGCATCCTGGAGGTGGAGTACGAAATGGAGGAGCACTTTACACGCAGACGAGATCCACACTAAGGGTTTCATATAACAGCAGTAGATTTTATGATTAAAGTGTAAACTACCGTTTAGGAGACTCACCACAGAGGGGTGTATTCGCTTTAGGCCGGCCACGGCAGCTGCAGCCTTTTTAAGGCCGGCTTTGGCGTCTTCGAATGTATAGAGGGTCTGACGGACAGGATTAGAGTACGAGACGGAGGCGTTGTCGACCAGCGTCATTTTGCGAAAGCCCCAAGCCTGCCAGATAAAAAAGCGTGGACGCAGTGGATTTAAGGTGGGATACAAAATAAGTTATAAAATGAGGGACTCGAACCATGGCGGAACGAACAGTCTGGGTGGTCGCATTCATGGCTCGTAGACCAAACCTGCCAGCTGACCCCTGAGCTTACCAAAACACAATATTAGGAACGGTACAACGTGGGAGGAAGACTAATTTTTTGCTGCAAAATGAAGTGGTACATTGGAACAGGTTGTTGCCGCAATCTCACCAAAAGCTGCCGCGCGACATTGCAGCCCAGGGTTCCCGCGCCCAGAATGAGGCATCGAGTTGTGCCCAAAGTGGTGAGATCCAGATCAGGCAGCATTCGCCAAACCATGAGCTTCAGATTCAAATCCACGGCAGACTCGGCAAGTCTGAAATAAATAAAAAACACAAGATGGACGGGAATTCAGAGAAGACCCACCTGCAAACAGAACTTTTTATTCTCTTTCACAAAATGGCTTAATCAGAATGAACTGGCACAATTTCAAAATTGGAGAGACGGAGGAGGTCAGGCGCAGAGAGCGCCAAAGGGAATGTTTGCTTAAAGCCGCCCACGAGGAACCTAGTCCGCGTCTGTTAGGACATTGTTGTCGACGCAAGTGACTAAAATCTGTAAAATACCAATAAAACCATGGAAAATGCCGCCTAAGTGTGCGGTGATGTGGTGTGACTGTGGGTAGGACTGTAGACCGCGGTCTAACCGCTCGCTTCATGTTTCTGAGTAGCAGACGAATTTTGAGGGCGTCTAGGTTAGCTAAAAGTAATTTTAACCAAGAAAGTCACAAAAAACGGATAAGGTGCTAAGAATTCAGCAAAACGGTAAAATGGGACCTTACTAACAAACGGCAACCAAAAGGCCAGATTATCATATTAAGACAGATCCATTTCGTCAGACTTCCCCGTGGGAATGATATGGTGTCCAGTCCGCACTAGCCATTCGTCACTAATTACGCATATACAATAGATGTGCTAACTCAGGAAATGTTGACTGAAACTCTGAAATGCGTTTTGACTCGAAAAGATTACTTAGGTAGTGTTGTACGATTAATTACCGTGTAGCATAATCCCAGAATATTTCTGTTACTTCGGGATGCAGGCTTCTGAACGAACTCCATTCCGGCCGCCTAAAAAAACTACACCCCGTAAAAGTGCCTACTTATGTAGTATGAACTTTCCTCATTGATTTCCGATGCCCTTATAAATTTTGATATATTTCATGGAAAACATGCATAAAAATAGTCATTTACTCATTTGGGAGAAAATTCCGTCTTTTATACTTGAAGGAAGGGTGTGATGCGGTTTTAAAAAATCTTTCAAATTCCCGAATAATTTTGAATCCGACTCGCTCTTCCATTTGTTTTCGGGGTTCTCAAACTACAAGCTGCATATTATCCGTGAGCGCAGACGTACACATTTTCCCTACCTATGATCAAATATCGGTACGTCTGGGTCCATTTCAAATCCCCTGGATTTGCCTGTACTATGCGGAATTCTAAACCCCGACTTCGCTACCAGCAAACAACGCTCCAAACCAATGGGTGAGTGCGGGATTGCTTGGTATCGCGAGCGCCCATGACTCACGGTTCAAGATAGGCCGCACAGTACACCACGCAGGTGGATACGCAAACAGGGCCAGGAGTTCGAAAGAACCGCCTTCAGTCCACGAGGGCGAATTAATGTTACATGACAGGAAGTTATGTGAATGCCCATATTAGAAGAACGAGCAATTAGTCTACACAGAGTAACTGCCGTAAGGGAAAAAAAGAAGAAGCTAAGAACGTACTTAACGGGATCCATAGTGGAACTCAAGTTGACCCTTCGCGGCTGCAACTTTCCTTGCCACTTTTCCCAACCGACAAATTTGGTTTCTAAGGGCAGGCAGAGGAAAGAAAGGCGGAGAATAGCAGAGTAATGGCCTGAATTCTAGTAATGCGAAGTCGACAACTACACTGTACAATGCAAGACCAGGCTCACCTGATGAGGAAGGCTTCTGTAGTAACTGAATGCGGAGCACGAAACTATGCGTGAATATGCGTTCACCAAGCGAGTAGCGGTCGCGAAAGCAAAGCACCTTAACAGTCTCCGGGGACGAGAGTGTTCTGTGGAGAAGGAAGTAAAGAGTAAATGCATGTAGTCGAAAAAAGTCGACTCGAAGATCGATGTTATTGACAAAAATTCTACTTCTGTTCGAGCAGAAGGTACAAACAACAACAAAGTATCCGTTGTCGAACGGGTTAGAAAGCAATCGATCGGCTCAGAAAGAAGACCAAGGTAGAAGAGCTTTTACTTCTGAGTCAGGCTTCAATGGCTCCTTCTTAATGTGGTCTTTATGACACTCTAAGCCCGTGGAATCGTAGCCGGGTGTGGCTACACGTCTAGGGGCAACTCCGACAGCGCCAGCTACCCGCGGTCTTACTGACCACGTCCTCTTAATACCGTAGAAAAATGCATCCCTTCCGTATTCGGAAAATAAACGGCTTGTAGTTTGGAAACCCTGAATCCAAGTGTAACAGCAGGTCGGGGTTTAAAATTATTCGGGAATTGTAAAAATTTTTGAAAACCGAATTATGCCCTTCCTTCGAGTATAAAAATGGAATAAGACGTAATTGTCTACCGAATAAGCAAAAGAATGAATATTCTTATGCATGTTTTCCATGAAATTCGACTGGATTTCTGAGGGCCTCGAAAATCAATGAGGAAATTGCGCGCTACTTAAGTAGTCATTTTCTGCAGCGTATAGTTCTTGCATACAATCGGAAACAAGTTCATTCGAAAGACGGCACCCTGAGGTAACTGGATCATCATAGATTTATGCTGCAAGATGATTAGTTTTACAACCCTACTTAATTAATCTTTTCGAAACGCGAACACATTTCGAAATTTCGGTTGACATTTCACGAGTTAGCCCACCTACTGCAGCTGCAGAGAAATTCAGCGCAAGGACACAGCATGCTACCCTAACATTTGTCCAAACATTTACCTACTATCGCGCTGTCCTTTCCGTCGTCTAGCCCAAACCGGTAAAACTCGTATTACACAGTGACCGGGTTTTTGTTCCCTGAGTGAGATCGCATACTGAGTCGACAAAAAGGTAAAAGCGAACCTACATTTGAATGCACAGAAAACGGCGTTGAAAGTCGATACCCCTGCCTTGTTGTGCTCTCCTCGAACCAGGCCGAAGTGTTGGCTAATCGTACTTTTACTGTATGATACTTTGGGCCGGCATAAAATTTACCGCACCCCCAAAGACTCGTTAGAGCTTACAAAATATAATGCAGTTTTCAGCTGTTTTGAAGCACAACGCCAGCTGCTCATGACGGATAATTAAAATTTGACTGCCCCTTCCCGTCGCGCCTCACCTACAGCAGTTTTTGTCTTTTTAAGAGCGAATCTGTCTGGGTATTCACAAAACAGATTTTTTAATTAGTCCGTTAGTAGCATCTGAGGACGCTACATCCTGAAAGGAATGAAGACTGGTAGTAATTGCTCAATTCAAATACTCAGCTTTATGAATCTTTCACCTCCCGTTGAGAGATGATATTGAGAGAATATCTGTCGAAAGTTTTGGTTATTGCAGAAAAGAGCGTTGCTTCTGGCTCCCTCTCCTTCACCCACATTACTGGGGTCCGCGTCGAAAGTGAGAGCTTGACAGGCGCGGAGAACAAATACGGCGCGAGTTACCCTCACCGACAATAGTCTGTAGGTTGGTGAGACTTACAGTGCGTGACCAATCTCATGAAATGTTAGCCACAATTCTGGAATGCGTTTCCGATTGGAGAGGATTACTTAAGTGGGATTGTTATACTGATTATCATGCAGCATAACCCTATAACATTCCGAACACGCGAGGATGTCGGCTTTTGATTGCACTTCTTTTTGACCTCCTGCAGAAACCACACTCGGTGACAATGACTACTTAAGTCGCATGCACTTTGCCTATTGATTTTCGATGGTCTTAAAAATTCAAATATATTTTACAGAAAACATGCACAAAAATGTGCTCTTTTGCTCGTTTGGTAGGAAATCCCATTACCTTCATATTTTATGCCCGAAGAAAGTGTATACCTAGGTTTTAAAAAAGTTTCAAATCATGAAATTTTGAAGACCGTGCGATGTTCACGCATGCAAGACCGAACATGTCCGTTCACTAATGCTCCTCATGAAATGTACAGCACAGTCCGGATCCATTGTAAAATTTCATAAACTCTATGGGGTATCTTCTTAAAGGCATAGGGGAATATATGATTTTCCTTACGCGGAAAGCATGCACCTTGTAGATTGAAATTGCTAAACGCTGATACAATGTCAGATCAGGCTAAAAATTGTTCGAAAATTGGGAAACTTTTTTAAAACTTGGATATGCGCTTTCTTCCGGCATAAAATATGAAGGTAATGTGATTTTCTACCAAATGAGCAAAAGAAAGCATACGTTTGTACATGTTTTCTGTAAAATGTATTTGAATTTATAAGACCATCGAAAATCAGTAGGAAAAATGCATGCGACTTAATTAGTCACTTTTTACTGAGTGTGGTTTCTGCAAGAGGTCAAAAAGAAGTGCATTCAAAAGCCGACATACTGGCGAGTCCGAAATGCTATTGGGTTATGCTGCATGATAATCAGTATAACAACCCCACTTAAGTAATCCCTCCTAATCGGAAACGCATTCTAGAATTTTAGCTAACACTTCATGAGATCGGTCACACACTGTACAACATGTTGTTTCAGTTACGAACAAATTTTCTGGATGATATTACACCCGCAGCGATGATGAGATCAGGCCAACACTGTTTACTACTTCTGCTGCTGTACGCAGCTTGCTCCTTCTGAGCGTCAATAGGAATGACCGGAAAATGAAAAAGGCGGTTTAAAAGTAGATGCAGTCGGTGCACGGCTACGGGACAGTTAAGGAATAAAATAAAAATTTGTCCGAGATGCCATGGACACTTGCATGCAAGTCTTCTGAATTAGGACTCATAAATAGAAAGGGGGGGGGGAGGGGCAACTGACAGAGTGCTGGAAACCGCGAATAGAAGATTGCGTAGTGGCCAACCCGGGTGATCGGCGTCCGAGGAAGGATCCGAAAAGCCGAGGTAGTTATTCTGTGCAGATTAAAAATGCACATAAAGTGACAGCTCCAAGAGGAATGCGTAGGAAATCTGCTACAGTCAACAAATAACTGGGAGACTTAGTGTTTGCCTGGACTGCGTAGGTGGAGTTGGAAAGTCTTATAGGCTGACGGAGTAAAGTGAATGCGGAAAACGATAATTTACGCCTACAGGGCGGAGCAGACTACTTGTGACAGCGCTAAAGATTACAGCATTAGGGTGAAATTCAATCTGGAGCTCAGAAGACGATCTACTCCACCATGCTATCGACTACATTCGAAAAGGGGCTCTCCAAAAGTCTGGCAGTCTCCAATTTGCATGTTCATAGACGCTAATCACGTAAATGGAATCGCCATGCCAGCGCTCAGTCGGTGTGGTGCATTATCCGACTGTTTACGATTAGCTGCTTCAGACTTGGTTACGATCAACCGTACCCCAACCGTTGTTAGCAAGTCCCCTTTAACGGTCGTAATGCCTTGACCTTCAAGACCTCAATCGCATCTACAATTAGTGATCTAAGACAAACTAAACCAGTTTCTGTAACGGTTAACACCATCAAGGCTGTTTTTGCAGAAAATGAACTGAAGTGAGGTCTTTGGTTACCGGTAGTGAAGAATTACCTCCAAGGGAAGTATGCACAACTTATTCTGGAAGAGAATTCCCACTTTAAGTAACATGGCCGAAATGGCCCTGGCCACCAGAAAGGGGGGGTTAAGTTCTTCCGGCACATATTTCCCCAGACATCCTCCGAGCTCTATGCCGCTGACCCTAATCGAATGCTGCCCTCTCACTCAGGATGAGGAAGAAGTGCTCAACTGAAAAACCTGGTTCGGCAAGCAGAAGCTTCAGACTCTGTTTGGTCTCTGTCAAGGTATGAGCTATAATAAGCTCACATATTTTCAGAATGCATGAATCTATACACTCCGCATAGTGTGGGGGATCCTGCTCAACTTCAAAGGCAAAATCGAATATTGGAATTGGGCATGATAAACTTGAGAGCTTCGGAAAAAGACGAAATCTCCACGGGAAAACAACTGACATTCCGGATCCCTACGCAAGTCCGGTCAAGTGAGTCCTCAAAAATGAAATTCCGTTACTCGATTCTAAAACGGGCTCAAGAGCACGGAACAACGACATTTCATGTGTCTATTCTAGTTTACAGTCTGGGGCATTCTTAATTACCTCTATCGGCACCGACAATTTTATGAAATAAGCGCTAACAGGCAGGATGAGAGGTAAACTAGAAAGGTACCGGAAAGTGCCCTTAATTGGACGGCCGACGAGGTGACAACAGCTTCCGGAACGGCACTGTTCCGCATATAATTCTTCTTCGGAAAGGTGCGATTAGATGTGTACTTGCGTTGCTACTGACAGTGGAAAAGTAGACAGGAAATAATTGGTAAAAACTGTTTCAATTGTCTACCTCTTGACAGGCATCGAATTCCGACAAGCTGAAGACACGGACGTCACCATCGGCTCCTGTTCGAAAGCTGAAGAAGACGTCATTCGACTGTTCACGCCACTTGTCGTAGGCCGCCAACAGGCTGTCCAGCTAGGGGTGCAAAAGTAGGATTGAGACGCATGCGGCATGGTTTGCCATACTAGCTATAAGTCCTAGTTTCGCCGAAATGCTCCACAGCATGACAGAGCTGCGAGGCGACAGATTCGCCGGTGCCCACCTCCCCTCCCGAGCGTTCAGGTTGATACTGCAGTTTCGAAACTACAGCTTTTTAATCTGTTCAGGAAGTAATGAGCCAACTTAGAGAAAATTATTTACAATGGGGTTCCGTAGGCTCAGTTCAAAAGTTGATATGCATATTTCAGCCAAAGCCCATCAGTTTCGGTGGGCTGACTGCGTAATATTCATAAATTGTCAACAGGCAGTCTATAGTATATACCGGAGGTGGGGTACCTCACGAAATATCAACCGAAATTCCGAAGTGCGTTCTCGTCTCGAAAATATTAATTAAGTAGGGTTGTAAAACTAATCAGCCCGCAAAATAATTCTATAATATTTCAGTTACGTCAGGATGCCGGCTTCCGAATGAAATTCCTTCCGGCTTCATGCACAAACTACACTCTCTAAAAAGGACTACTAAAGTAGCATAAATTTTTCTCACTGATTTTCGATGCCCCTAAGAAACCAATTATGTTTCATGTTCATAAAAATATTCATTCTTTTGCTCATTCGGCAGAAAATTGCGTCATCTTCCAATTTTATACTCAAAGGAGGGGCATAATTCGGTTTTTAAAGACTTTCCGAATTCCCGAATAATTTTGAACCCGCTCTACCGTTACACTTGAATTCAGGGTTTCCAAACTACAAGCCGTATATTTCCCGCGTACGGAAAACCATACATTTCTCTACGGTGAGAAAGGAGGACCATGCAAGATAAATAGTCATTTTTTAGAGAGTGTAGTTTTTGCATGCAGCCAGAAGGAAGTTCATTCGAAAGCCGGCCTCCTGAAGTAAGTGAATTATTATAGAATTATGCTGCACGATGAGTAGTTTTACAATCCTACTTAGTTAATCTTTTCGAAGCGGAAACGCATTTCGGTTGACATTTCATGAGTTAGCCCACCTACCGTATGTTGCTTATTGGAAAAATGTAAGAGGACGGGCGAACCCAAGAAGACAGACAGTTGCGCCTTGGTGATCGCCCCCCTTTTCCATCGCGCTATGATGGCATAAGGTGCTTAGGGTGCCCAAGGAGGACGAAAGGAAACCCCGGGGAGGGGGGGAGGGGAGCAACGGGGGACTAGGCTACGAACTGCCTGAAGAGTTAACATGTTGCGAGTATTAGAAGGACGAATATCACTTTCATTCAACAAGGCTTCACTCGTCATCGTTGAGCCCAATCCCCGAGCCTTAACCTGGCGTGTCGAAGAAGCGGATGGGAACGGTGTCTTCAAGTGCAAGAAACCGTTCCTTCACGAGGTCGTCCCACGCGAGGGAGCATGGCATGACCGGGTTTTGGAAGACTGGACGGTTGCGTTCCGCACGCGCTAGTTGAACTTGCCGAAAACTACGACGGTGAGTTGGGTATTTTCCTGCCCAACAACCTAAAACTGCACCAGAGATGGCAGCCAGGCTTTTTGCATTTTTTTGCGGCTAGCGTATCCAGAAAATGTTAACTCGTACTTTTACCAGACTCTGAAAGTGATAAGGCAACGCAGTAATAATTCAAAATGGGTACCAGGATTTCAGATGAGGACTGCCTTGCTGGTCAAAAAGAGGCAAACATCGCTTTGTGAGGAGCGTTTGACAGAAGCTTTATGAAGTGGCTAACCACATCTAGGAATGGAGCATGATACAGTAAATGGCGTATCTCATGAAGCGTGGACCGATATTTTGAAATGCGTTTTCGATTACAGGGGACCATTTGGGAAGGGTTGTAATATGTGGTGGAATGCTGATTAATCCCAAGATATTTCAAGCAGTCTGGATGTCAACTTTTGAATGTGTTTCTTACGGTCGTCTGCAAATGCAATATTCAGTAAAGGGCAGGTAGGTGGTACAATTAGTTCCCATTGACTTTTTATGCCCCGTATATTCGAAAATCTTTTGTGGAACACATACGCAAAAATATCTTCTACGAGCTCAATGGTTAGCAAACTACGTCTCCTAATCTTTTACTCAACAAAAGGATATCCGCGAATATTTACAAACTACAAGCTGCGTAAATCAGACAGTATTCTGTGCTACTAAGAAGGCACAAAATGGGGCTCATATGATCTTGTAAAGCACATGGGACATGTTGAATGCTTTATACGAAGCATTACTAAACTGACAGACATGACAATGACTGAACATTTCACGTTCTTAAGATATCTCATAATTACAGACTTTTTAAAGCGAGAAAGTAGCCTTTCCTCGAGTATAAAATTTGACGAGGATAGAGATTACGACCAAGTGAGTACATGAAAGGATATTTTATGTACGTCTTCTACATAACGTGCTTAAAATCATAGGGGCAACGAAAATCAATCGAAAGCATCCTTCTATCAAATGTGATTGTTGCAGGCAGTGAAAAAGACGCGAATTCGAAAGGCGGCATCATGGTGCAACTGAAATAGTTTGAGATTGAACAGCATGACATTCAATTTACAGTCCCATTCAAGCAATCCACTGTGATTGAAAACACACTTCAGGAGTTTGGTTCACGTTTCATGGGCATGCGCCAGCCACTGTAGTGGCTGAGCGGCATTAAGCGATGTGCAGAAGGTAGTTAAGGGATGGCAGGAGGAGCCATGAGTCGGAAAAGTATAATCAGCGTCACAAAAAGCACACCGGCCTGGTCTAGAAATCATATTGCAAAAGTTGTCCCTTCATCTAGCATGAAAAACTATAAACTATGGCAACGCGTATGTCAGCTCGTGTAGGGTACGCGTAGCCAGGTCGTTTAGCTTCGTCAGTCACTGCGACCGAGCCTACCCTCCAGACATATTGACATTGATCTGCCATCGGAGCATGCTGGGTAAGTCACCGGCGCTGCAGCCTCTTCATGGGCGCATTATGGTGGAGGTCGTCGGTTACAACGGTAGAACTCACACTATGCCAGCTTATGTTTGCATTTTCGAATGCTGCAAAGGAGACTAATTAAAAAAGTGCGCGGCGTTGGTGAAATGTAGACGTAGGTAAACAATTAGCTCGACAGTACTCAGTGGTCGATAATGATAGTTTGAGGAACGATTGTCGGACGCATAACGCTCAAATAAGGGACGCGGGTCATGCTCGTTCATGCTAGACAGCTGACTGTTCCAGTACAAAAGGGGCAAATCAGTAATGCAGGGGTTCCTAATGAACGTCGGCGCCTGCTTTCTGGTAAAATTTTAGTAATTTCTAGGTACTGAAAGAAAAACAAAGAAAGGACAGCGGGTTATGTCCATCGTAAATATCAATGGCAAGCATCAAGTTGCAAGCGGACTTCAGACAAATCGCTCGAGAAAATAATATACGCAGCAACTTTAAGTGGTTACTCTGGCATATTTTCTAGCACATTGCCTACCATTCAGTCGGGGTCAAAAAGTGATCGGATGCACGCTATTGGCGGGTCTGAACGTTAGAAGGGACAGGTCTGCGGTCTTGCCGTAATGGATTAAAATAAAACGAGTACTGACCTGGGATTGAGTAAATTCCTCAGAGATGGGTCTTCGCTCGAGAATTTGAAATCCTTGTTGTTGCAATGGCGAAGGGAACGCAAACCAGAAGTAGAATTTGTGATGTTTAAGGTCCTGTACGCGTGAGAGTACGGAACAAAGGTAGGTGAGATGAAACAGTCTTGGCTAGAGCAAAGTATTTCATCAGAAAATTGCCCAAATAAATGGCCGGCAAACAGACAGTCTGAGAGTTTCAAAGAAGACTCCGAGAACACCCACAGTAGGCAGGGACAATGGGATGACTTCGTGATCGTACAGGCTCCAGACAACTTCCAGACTTATAGATCAGTGGAAAAAGCTTGGTCCCTTCATTAAAAAGACTATCAGGAGAGGTAATGCTCAGCAGGATCAATTTATTTGGATTCGGGTGTTTTAACCAGTAAGTTTAGACGTCTAACATATGAGAGTGGTAGGTACTGGGCATTCCTCGAATTGTGGATTATGATGGCTTCCGTGCAGATCGGCAGTAATGGTATCATCTGAGGGAGGAATAAGTGTGTGTGAGGTCTTTTGTCCCTAAAAGGGGTCACGGGGCAGATGCGCTGGACCAATACAGGGGCTAGATCGAGATCAGGCAGACGTTACTGGGAATGCGCAGCCATAACGAAGGTCAACATTTAGAGTGTGGCGGCACGCCCGGGTCTGGGCCCACGTCAGGCCAACTGAGATTCGAACCGCCTCCTTTTCTATTGTGTAAAGTCTCGGCCAGCCGTGGACTAGGGGATGTGGTGGTAGGCCTGTGTGCGGGTTTTTGCCACTCGCGCCCTCGCCACCGCCGTTCTTCTTGGCTCTGTCTTAACACCGGGCTAAGGTGGGGGAGTTCAGTGAGTGACGCAGATGCTGAGTAAGTCCACTACTACTCCTACTCCTACTGCTGCTACCACTACTACTACTGCAAAGGAATTCACTGTGAGTCACTGTCCATGCCCTTACCCCCCTGTGGAGCACACGGTGAACATCGTTGTCGGAAACGGCGTCTAACTGTCGTATGGAGTCTACTCCGACTAGAAATTGCAATTCCCGGTCCGATGTTCGTACCTCAGGTAGGGCTCGCATAGCTTCATCAGTAATCGTTGAAAGGCTTCTCTGGCAATGTGGTTCCAACAACTAATTCTAGACGTTGAAGATGTCTCTTTTGGGTGGGTTACGGACGCAAATCGATACTACGACAACCCGCCAACCGTGGGCCTGGTTAACGTGATATTCCTACGGTGAATGATATTCACGAAAAACTTGATGCTTGCCTTCAACATTTCTCTCGTAGTGTAGTGGTAATGACCGAAGGTGAAACCTTCTGAAAAGACGAGTTACTCGTTAGCCTAACTGCTGGTAAGCCGCGCGTCAACAACTGGCGGATAGTGGAACTGTCTTCAGCGAAGGGTAGCTGCGAAATAAGCAGGCTCTCGGGTCTAGCGAATAAGCAATTACGGACCAGCAGCAGGAGTGCTACCAGGGTGCGGAGAAATGGGGTCCGGCACGCCGACAGCCTTAGAAAATTCAGTAAAGCCCCATGACGGTACTGCGACATGGCGACCGTGAACCGCCATTAAATAAGTTTGTTTGCCGCTGCTGCTTTGTGGTTAGGCTCATGAAACACAGCGCTAGAGGAGACAATCTAGAAAAAATAATCCGAGTGGGTGTTAGGGAGCTGTCGGTACTTATAATTCACAAGAAACCTCACGAAAAATAAGCACGGATACAGTAGAACGATCCATGCTACGGCGTCCGCGGGAACTGACGCGCTCCACAACCCTGGTCCAGTGAACAGTATGTAAGCTGGACTACTCGATCGGGAATGGACCCTAGGTAATGGATGCTCGAATGTTCGACTGCGAATTCGTCGGAATTTCAGGAGTAAGGTGCAGCTGTTCATGACAACTAGTGTCTTCGAAATCCGTGGAAAATCGACACCGAACGTGGTTGTGTAATTTCGTCCCTGAGAGTCGAAAACATGAACGACCCGAAAGGTCTAAACGATGGCTACCTACATCAAATATCTCAGATTCTAAGGACCCTGACTGTGAAAACCGTTTAGACCCGCCGTATTCAGTATCCCTATAGTGGAGCGTGTACAGTGATGGCATACCAGACAGACTTCTTCGTACATCTTGAAGAATCTTTCGTATTGTCGCCTTCAAAATGGCGGACAGTTGAAGATGGGGCCTGAGGACAAAAGTACTAAACACGGACAGCAAGCTGGCTCAGTCATATCCAGTAGCAGCTGTGGAGGCAACTGTTGTAGGGAAAGGCCGAGCAAAGTGAGCGTGCACTAGATCTTGGTGATTTTAGGGAACCTCCAAACGACCTGCACCGTCCTCGCATACGCATGTGACGCGTGTTATGCGGAGGTCGCGCCAACTCAGTCACTGCGACCAACCTAATCAACAATCGACTTGCTATGAGCAGGCAAACTGCGCGTGAAACTGACAGAGTGGGGTCAATCAAATTCGGATTCAGGGCTCCGTTCGCCGCATAAACAGACGAACGTGCTTTGAAACAGTCATGGCGCGCTAACTGATATGGTTTTAGGGTTGGGACCATGCGGTTGCAAGCAGTTTGACCAGCAAACTGAAAAAATTTCTTAAGTGCGGTCCTTATGACACACACGTATGTGGGATACGGCACCGTCGACTTTCGATGAAGCATAGTCCGTAAGAAATTAAAAGCCAGATCATGTGTGGCACGCGTAGGCGAGCTATACGGTTTTGGCCGTCTTCAGTAGGCTGGACTGCTTTATCCGACAGAATGGGCAGGGAAATAGGAGGAAGATTCCACGCAAAGTCTACCTCACTATAAGCAAATACATGCGCAGGTCAGCATCGTGCAACCGGGGAGGTGGTGTGTTTCGTAACTTAGCCTGGACGGCAGGCGTTTGTCAACAAGGCAAAATTAGGTGTGACATGTGAGCAAGTTGAAAGCGTCGGAATCGAGACTACAGGAATATATGGGTGTAGCTTACGCAGTAGGTGAGAAGAATAAAACGCAAAAGTCGATTTGGCCTTTCTGGCAACTTCGCGGAGGCTGTCACAACCGGCACAATGTACTCTTGTCCAAAATGATCAATAAAAGATTGTTTGTCGAGCTCCTTGAACTGGTCTATGGTGTTGAGAGTGAAAAGCGAGCCCTCTACTCGGAAACAATTGTTGCGCTGAGGTGAAGTATTGCTGAAAGTCAAATCAAAAGACTGAACTGATACCTGAGCTTCGAATAAAGGCTTAACTAAACATTCATTTCTGGAGGGACAAACCTTGGTTCCTGTATACTGCTCAAATCAATATTTATGCGTGGCGTAAGGCCTGGAGCAGTTCCGCTGGTAAACTCTGCCGTGATCGGGAAAGGTCCTTCCAGTAGCTTGTAGTCCTCGAGTTTCCGCTTGGCAAGGGCGTGCCAAAAAGCAGTGTCAATGACGGCATCAAATGGGATGAAACAAAGCTGCTGAGGTTCGCTCATCTGCGTGTCGACCTGTGGGTGCGATAAAACGTAAAGGTGAAACAAGGAGATGTACTGGTTACCTGCGAAATGGAAATAGGACTGAGCGGGCGGTTGATGAGGAAGTAGGATGATATGGTAGTCAGGTATTTTGAACACAAACGCATTTATAGACAAGTACATTTTGCGCACACAGTCAGAAAATATCATATAGAGGAAAAACTCCAAAATGAAGTAAAAGACATCAGAAGAGCAGGATTTTCGGACTTCTACCTTTCATTTTTATCAAAGATACCGGCTCAAAAGTACTCACTGACAGACTAAATGATGAACCATTGACCTGAATATATCCAACGCGACGAGTGGTGTCGGCCGATTTGAATTCAACAACATCGATTCACTTTTTCACTCCACAAACCGATTTGACGTTGAGCCGAAGTTCGAAAGCCTATATTTATTGTTAGTGAAACTTGGTGACAAAACACACACAGAGCAAGGCAGGGGTGGGATGAGCACGACCAGAAGAAAGGTGATAATTACTTAGTGCAGTCACATAGAGCAACGAGAAAACAGAGTTGGACTAAGCTACGAGAAGAGTCCTTGTCTGGACAGTCTGGACAAATTAATTGCACTTCGCGGTATGAACGCGTGGAAAAGTAAAGCACTAGTATAAATGGCTTAATGTAACATCAATGAGGCACTGGCCACAGACAACCGATGACAAGCTTAATTATGTTAAGAAAACAATACTGGGTGTTGTCATCGCTACGTGCGAAGGTGACAGAAGCGTTAACAACGTTGTGGATCAGTAGTGATCCACTTGTAAGTCAGCACATTTCTGAATGTTTGCGCCTACTTCCTGGCTTTTGCTTCAACTGAAGTTCAAATAACCAGACTACGGTTTGTCCGTTCCCTAATATTAGATAAAAGCACGTGAGTGGAAGGTCTTTTGTGGCCGGATGTAAATTTAAGCGCGAAATCCGCTCAATGGAGTCGAAGTACGAGTGTATGTCGCAAAAGCCTTGAGTACTATCAGAGTGACTACGACGTATAAGGCAGTTTGTATAACTCAAGTGACAATGGTCTGAAAAGTACTGTAAAAATAAAACGAGAATATCTGCGACATGGCAGGCGTTCACTATTTTCTGAGGTGGTTGTCATAAAAATACCGACTAAAGTCAAAACCAACAGCAGGATTCTGTGGCAAAATTTAGAAATCTTGAAAGCGCCAACGGCGTTGGCCGGAAAGAAATAAGGAATGGTTTCCTGCGATTATCATTTTGCCTATTTTAATGGCTAACGTAGACCTCATTGACAAGTAGTTAGGAAAGACATTCTAAACTGTTTTCTCTCGCAACGGCTGACGCGCGCTTTTAAAAGACAGATGTGAGAACCGGCTTTCCCATATCCGGCACAGAAGGGGCTACACTTGTTGGGTATTACTTGCCACTGTAACCTAGGTATTTCGCAAACCGGATCCGGCACGACACCCAGTAAGGGATCAGTCATACTCAACGGTAAGTTAGTCTAAATCTGCAACATAACCCGTTATCCATCTGGGGACGTAGCATTAGTACTTACTGAGTGTGAAAACATCCTGGATCATTTCGATTATTCTACCAAATCATCGCAAATTAGAGTTTTTGCGGCTACTTTAGGAACCGTGATCAAGAATAGCCAACTGCTGACATCGGGGCGCGAGTATGCTTACATTCCAGTCGACACTCAGTTTTTCCTTATAGAAATCTACGAACGCCGGGACAAGGACTGGCTGCAGTGACCCCTTAGCTATGCACAACCGATTGAATGATGAATACACCGTACGGTAATTTTCTCTCGTATTGTCGCCAAGCAAGGCCATCAAGCAGTGGTCACACCACGTGCGACGATCTCGAATGAAGGGGGGAGCCGTGAATGTTCATAGGTATGCGGTAGCATGGCTACTGCATCCTATAAATACCGCAGCCCCCTGTGCATCAACCAGCCGTTTCTGCTTTTTTGTCTCTGATGATGGATTCGAGTAGGAATCCGAAACGTCGGGCAAATAAAGCTCTTGTCCCGGCGATCGTGTCTCCTTCTTCAAGGTCTCTTTCACCGTTTGCTTAAGTAGCAACCCCTCCAGGTAACCTCTTGTTTACCTGTTGGGTTGTAGACAAATATTTGAAGACGATGACAGGCTCTCCGGAAGAGGTTTATTTAGGTGCTGACGTTTCAAAGAGCTGGGTCGGCTCTTCATTTTTAAGGCGTAAAATGCACTTAATCGATCAGAAATTTAATTTAAAGTGGCCGGCCAACACAACTGCCACTTTCAATTAAATTTCTGATCGAATAAGTGCATTTTATGCTTTGACAATGAAGAGTTTACGCGACCTTCTGTGGTTGTCAACAGGGTTAAAGGTCGTTTTTTTGGACAGCCTCCCTAAAACGTAGTTCTAAGTAAGACCTATTATGCGTGCTTACTTACAGTTGTACATGCAGAGGTCTTTAACTACGGAAACCGAGGACACCGCTTCGACCGACAGCAGTTAGAGAGGGAATTCACGAATGCCTTCAAAAACGTCTACGACGGCATACAAAAACGCGGTGCTACGGCGAGGTAGACAGTGAGGTAACCATCCCTATAAACTAAACTCCATTAGTATACAATAGTTAGATGGCATGAACTTTTTACATGGATTTTAATAATTAACTAAGATACGCATACAACTCTTCGATTCCTGCGAAAGAGGCGCTGACACCTCACACAACAGCTTACCCGAGTAACAAAAACAACCAGCTGGGACCGCAAACTGGTTGAAACGACCTGAGACCTTGAGAAGATATTACGAGCGATTAAAACAAGAACATTGGAAATAACAGATAAAATTTATTAACAGTCCACTCAAGAATAAACTTATTTTCGGCGTCTTTTATCTTAACAGTTATCTTCCTGAAAAAACTTAACTGCGTCCCAGAAAATGCCATTTGTACAACCGGATGTTTTGCAATATTTTCTCTAGTATCTTTATGACGTTTGCAGATATAATTGCTTTTGGAACTTCTTGTCATCCACGAGCCTAATGGCCTCCTATCCATGATTCATAGTGAAATCTTTGAGGAAGATAAGAGAAAGGTAACAACAATAGTATGTACCGGTACGCATTCGGCGCTAACATTATGAGACCTGCATCAGTTTTTATTCAACTAAAATATTCGCTCATATTTCGTGCTACAAGATAATATTTGGAAGATGGCCACCGGTTATTTATCAGATGCCCGATTACAATCGAATCCCACTGACGTTCCTGAGCTGGGGAGAGAGAGAGAGAGAGAGAGAGAGAGAGAGAGGAGTGCGCTTTGCTTTGATATAATCGTTTCAAAATTTCTAAGAAAAAGCATCCTCATTGCCGCTGTTAGAACACAAATTATTGGATGACGAGAGGGGGCAAATGATGTTGCATAAAACCCTATCAACTATTTCCGGGACATTTTTAATATCAGTCTTTATATTTCGGTCTCTTTGCACGTTTATATATAATGTCCGAGATGGTAATGGCTATTTTGCTATATGACCGTTACTGGACTCTCATATACTTCAAATTAGAGTTGTCCGCAACGGAGCCCCTAACCTGAATACGGTCTAATTCTTGTGTTGCATGCGTAATATAGACGGTAAACTTTGTCAGAACGTGTGCTCCTGTTCGACTCTGACCGTCATGACAGTGTCTTGTCATCGACGTAAGATGAATGACAGAAGAGCAAGAATTTGACATGCTGAGCATTTCTGCATTCCGACAAAAAATTAACACGAAAGTCGTCGTTACTGGGCAAATCTTGATATGCAGCGCTGCCCGTCGCTGCTAACAACGGTCGAAATGCAATGTGAACAGACTAAAATCGATCCATGATTTTCTGCCATTATATTCAACCTCATTGTACAACATGTTTTCCGCCATATGAACATTATAAATACCTTCGCACGCCTAAAGGATTTCTACACAATCGGCAAGTCTTGCGTCTACTTCATCCGTGCAGCTATTTTATTGACTACTTGCTCGAATTTCCTCTGGTCCGACGATATGTATGTTATCTTCAATGTATAGTCCGATCATTACAACATAAAGATGAGAGACAGATTCATACAAACTGCCAAACTAACCAACCCTGATATTTAAGGTACGCTAGTGGATCGATGGTTGCATTCATTTCCAAATACATGATCTACCATCAGCCTCCGGAGGCAAAACAATATTCTCTGAATTTGTGCATGAAATCCAAAGCTCTTTAGAGGTATCTGCACATTGCAGTAGTGCAGCTGGTAGAGTGTGTTTAATAAGTATGTGTAAGTCAAAATACGAGTTGTAAATAAGATGTCCGGTTATTTTTACGGTATTGAGAAATATATGATATTTATATGCACGGCTTGTCCTGACGAAAGGATGGAGAGTAAACGTTATGCGCAAAGTTTGAGCTCCGCATTACAGCACTCTTGTGAGGTCCAGAAACTACGGAATGTCAGTATTGGAGACGTGGAATAAAGAAAGCTAGGAGGCTACGATCGTAACTTCCGGATTCTTTCTTGCTGTCAAGCAGCAATTCACTACAATGGGCACAGCAGCTCCATGATGTGAACTCAGACTCACTTGGTCAATCGAACAGATAATTTAGCATTTCAGGCACGGCCTCACATTACGTCCATTTCTAAAATAATAAAAGAGAACTCGACGACTAAGCTCAGAGCCGCTATCACTTCCGCGGTGAAGATTCTTCGATGAACGTCAGTCCGATTTTTGTTATTCTGGCAGAAAATTACACTTAGCTAGTATATACTTCTCAAATAATCTTGACAATGTAGGTTGTGTCCATGCACTATTTTTTAAATTTATTATTGGGGCGACAGTGATAGAAATACCTTGCGGATATTTTTATTTCTGAAGTTTATTTTTGCAATTACAGTTACGTTAAAGGCCGATATGAAATCTGAGCGTGGTCATCAGACTCAGAGTCTATTGGTTAACAAATCAAACACAAACTGTAGCGGGCAATATACGAAGTAGGCGTTCCTAACTTTCACGCCGTTGTTAAAATAAACGGTACGAAGCATCAAGCTGAGGATATTATCCTCAGTTGTAAACATTTTATACCAAAGGAGTGCATGGTTATTTGTCAAACTTGCTTTCAGGTATCAGCTAAACTGGAGTAACAGATGAAACTTCTGAAACCCCTTAAAAGATTCGGATATTGTTACGAATGGAGATAATAACATCTGCTGAGATGCGATATTGTATATCATAGGACGTCATCCTCTCGCGACTCACACAGGGCGGGATGCTGATATTCTAGCAAGTCAATCGTCATTGCTTTGGCAGGGTAGATTTTTCCCGCGAGTCCGAATACTTTTTAAAAAATCAAATTACGTCTCACTGTGAGGTCATTCATAAGCAACATTTCTGCACCAATTTAAAAGAATAAAACACTTATTCAATAATTCGTACAGTAACAGGGTGTTCTTTTGCGCCGAAGAAGTCTTCGAGTCATGTTCCATCAAAAAGTTGTTTAAAATTATAATTCTGAAGTTCTTTTTAGATAAAAACATCCATTTAGATCTTCGTTCTTGGTAAGAGTGTCCTTCAATCTTAAAACAATTTTGGTTTTAAGCCAATTATATACAAGAGCATAATTACATTAATAATTTCATATCTGCGAGGTGACCCATGCCTACTGTAACTTCCCACTGTCACCAGCGGCACAATTCATAAGACGAAGAATGGCTAAATATGCGTGTTCTTGGTATTTTGGCAGTTAGTGTTTAAACCTATCAGGCAAAGACACTTGTTGTGTTTACCAAATAATTAATATCTGTCTGATATTAATTATTTGGTAGGTGGTTGCAAGGTTGGTGTGCTACGTGTATCTGATGCTCCTTCGGTTGTCTTTCGACGTGCTCAGATACATTTTACACGTATGGGGGAGTCTGCCGGGTGAATGCTTTTGGTGCCTCGGTGGTCGTAGTTTTCGAAATACCTCTCTGTTTAAACCCATATTGCATGCAATGACGTACAAAGCCGCGCGGGTTCCCGTTATGGGAAAATAATTTGAAGAGGTATTTCATTTCTGTTTGATAACTTTCTTCATCAGAGCAGTGTGTTTCAGCTCCGTCTAGTAGGCTGTAGACGTCACGGTCTTCAACTGAATACGAAACTGACGATGTACAAGGCCGTTATCCTGCCGACGCTACTGTACGGAGCAGAGACCTGGACGGTGTACACGAGGCAGGCACGCCGTCTGAACCACTTCCACCTCAATTGTCTTCGTCGCATCCTGCGGCTGAACTGGCAGGATCGCATCCCCGACACTGATGTGCTGGAACGAACGGGAATGCTCAGCATCTACTCCATATTGAGACAAATGCAGCTGCGCTGGAGCGGCCACCTGGTGCGCATGGGCGACGAGCGGCTACCCAAACGACTCTTCTACGGAGACGTCACGACGGGTTCTCGTCGTCAAGGAGGCCCAATTCGTCGATACAAGGATACCGTGAAGTCCTCCCTGAAGCTACTGCAAATCAACCCGACCAACTGGGAAGAGCTCGCCTGCGATCATGCGGCATGGAGGAGAACAGTGAAGACGGGCGCTGCTATCCACGAAGCCAACCGCATCGCCGCCGCCAAAGCGAAACGCGAAGCCCGCAAATCCCAACTGCGCCCAGTCAGCAACGCTGCCGCACAACTGCTTCCAACGTGTCCTCGATGTAAGCGGGCATTCCGGGCTCGAATCGGCCTTGTTGGACATCTTCGGATCAACTGTACCTCTCGAACTGCGCCAAACTTCATCCCCCCGCCCGCGTCATCCTCGTCCTCTTTGCCGCCGAATAACTCTGTGAATTATTCTGCACCACCACTTCCATCCTCCTCCTCCTCTGCCTCCTCCTCCT